AGATTCTTGTGTGATTGTTTTATGATCGGAAAATGGATCAACTCGAGAAACTACTAGGTAATGACATTGTTCAGCTTGACATGACTCCATAGACGCACCATAGCAAATGAGCTGATATAGCAAAATATGAAATCAGTATGAATAGGTAATCGAGAGTCGAAGAAAACATCGTGATTTAAAAAGAACATATGAATTGAGAATCAGTCGCATTTCATGAAGATTTGAATCAATTGGTGAAATGTTTGGATACAGAATAATCTGATGAACTGAAAGAGAATGATATGTATATTGGAATGAACAACTTATGCAAGTTCAAGAAAATGGTATTGCAGAAGAGCTGATTTCAATATATGTGAGGAATGAGACGATTTATTTTATTGATTCATTCTGATACAGTGTTGCTCTCACCTCCATATATGATATTCATGATAGTGATGTGAGATGTCGAATTATGAGTTTGTTATCAATGTCAACGAAAATTATCTAATATGTTTTGATCTCTGCATCATTCAATTGGAGTTGTGGCGAATTTGACCTATCGAAAATTATGATACCAATTCACAAACAAGAACCAGAAGATGAAATCAATAATAATTATTACAACTCCATAGCAATCTTGAACTGCATTGTGGAAGTATTAAAATTTTGTCGTTTCACAAACTTTGTTCAAAATCTCTTGGACTAAAGAGACAAGACAACATATTCGCGAAATAGATGACGAAATATTGATTTTAGGAGAATGGAGTGAAATTCCAATTTGCTGAAGTCAGGAGGAGCACAAGGGTTGAATTTGTAGTCGTTAATCTCTCTATGAGTCCAATATTTCTTGAACACCAGACCTCTGTTATTTCATGAAAGCTGGAAGTTTCTTAGCGCATACTGGGTTAGATTGATAGGAGAACTTGAAGTTTGAGTCATTGTGCCTTCGGAAGGTAACAAAGAACACAGGTGCTTAGAACACCTCTCGTCATACCCCAGCGAACATTGAACTAGTGGGAGAAGTCCGGCCTAGTGCAGACTAGTCTGGGAAAGTGACGAGCCGGTGTATTTTGATAATGGGCCGTTGATTGTCCTATGCCAGCTAACCATCAGTTTAAAATACGATGATGGCCTTGTGATGGTAAGATGCCTGGAACTAATTGAATACTAAGGAGATCTGGCCCTTTGCTGGCCAATTTCATGTTCGCTACTCGTCCCCATGGTGAACGTTCTGGGAACGTCTACATCAACAATCAGCTGATCAATATACTAAGATGGCTGACTCTCGTGAGTGGTGATCGCGTACTAGTTTATTTATGTCGAATTAATGTGGTTCTCTCTTTCCCTGGTGTTTATTTATGATGGCAGGAGTATTCTCAATTGATAATATTAGAAGACGGATTCTTCAATTATGATAATATCGAGTAAGTATCAATCTACCCAGATAGTGTTTTTTATTTCATTATTGATTGTGTTCGATATCTCGTAACCTCATATACCTAATGATCATAATAATTGGAGTTGGCTATACTTCTCCAAAAGCAACTATCATTTTTAACTCGTTTGTTGCTATCAAAAGCAATCTCAGGTTATGTAAACCTATCTCTACAATGAATAACTAAATAACAATAAGGTTTCAGCAACAGAAATACCTGTGCCAAGAAAATAATGAGAATTGGAAAGCTCCATGTTATCACGTCATCAGACTATATTATCAAGTTCTGAACTCATGCAACTCATAGGCCATTAATGTAAAACAAATGATGCATTTTAAATTTCAGAAGTACCTCACAACGAATCAACTTTGTAGAAATGCTACCCAATAAGATGTAAATACCACATACCAACCAGGAAGTAGTCACTCCTAGAAGTTTCATCGTTGAAGAACAGAGATATTAAGAAGATATCATTGTGTCATTCATGAAATTGTTTTCTTGAAATCTGGTATGTGTCTGATTCATGATGAGAGGGTTATATTGTGAAATAAAGAGATACTAGAACTATCTGATCCATTGGACCTCCAAAACCCCTACCGCTCCCCTACCTCGATAATGTAAACAATGTCGTTAATTAGCCATTACAGTCCCATCATTTATGAATATGCTGGGCTTGCTATGGGAAACTCAATTTGTCGATTATGTTGTACTGGCCTTCTGCCGGGGAACTGAATATGATTGCTGGGTACCCAGCACTGGGGCCAACTACCGGCCGCAGTGTACTGATATATAGAGTCCCGCATATGGGATCATTTTCTGGGCCGCTGATGTCAGTTATGGGAAAAATATATCAGGCCATTGATGTCCCATATCAAAATGTTCGCTGGGACTAAAAACAGTAATTTTTTTTCATATTCAATTCCGGAAAATATTGTTACCCACGTCCTCGATTGTCAGATTATATAACTATGGTGCCTACTCCTCGCTGGTCACCCTTGGAGCTCGATGAATGCTTACTTAACTTTTGTTGGAGTATGAGAGCTGAATTTTATACATGTAACTTGAGTAACAATCAGAAGATGTTTTCTCAGCAGCCAGATCGTTCTGGTGGAGCTAATCTCTAGCCAGACAGACATACAGTGCTTTCATAGAGTACTGAATGGATAAATTTTCAGTCAACCTAACAATTTCTGAAGAATCTCTTGAAATACCTCAACTTTTGAGTTGAATGTGCCACATTCATCCGGAGGAATTGAATATATACTGAAAATAAATATTCTCAGATGAATCATGAACATAAAAAAAATTTATATATATCAATATATATATAAAGCAATACATTGAGAATTCGCATTTTCTATGTGATGAGAATATCAACTCTTTTTCAGTCTATTCAACGGAAGACAACCACTTTCCTGGCTATCTGCCACGTCGAACATTTAATTATATCTCATGAACATCCAAAAGAAGAGCATGAGAAATGAAGAAAAGAATTCTCCGAAATTGAAAATCGACTTTTTTTCTCGAATCGGATGAATAGTATGTTGAATAATGATATAAAAATATAACTTACCAATATATTCAGCATTGAAATGAGAATTGGAATGTATAGGAGAAGTATACTGGCATTTACTCTGATCTTGATGAGCTTGAGAACTTCCAAAAATAATCATTCATATCAGTGATATGGGGTGCGAACTTAAACGATGGAAACTTGTCATTTTTATAGACCTCTAATCACAGATTCGTGATAGAGTCTCAATTCAGAATTCCTTTCCACGCGCTGTATGATGAATATCTATTTATCATACACCCAAACACCATATATATACTATTCAATTTCTGAAATCTCCATGGAAAGCTGAATCCGAACATATATTATACATAATGTTTGTGTGAAGTGCGTAAGTCGAATTCAGTGCCCTCTTGAAGTATAGTGGATAAATTCGTGAAAAAAATCATTGAATTCAGAAGAGAGCCCGAATAATAATGTAACGTTATTCGGGACCAGAAGAAAACAAGACATTTTCAATTTTAGAATTGATGTATTTCAACTTAGGAAACACCAATTCATAACAAACCTATTACTACTATTTATGTTGAACGATTCATATCACGCAGTATATGTCTCTTTGTCACTTGATACTTGTTTGACTAACGGCTGCGGTCCTGCCATCTTTGAATATCATATCTCTTGACAGGCTTCGCTTGCTGAACGTTCCTGAATGATCTTTGTCACACCCCTTTTGTTCTAGAAGCTCCTCAGATAAAAATATCTCTTTATTGTACAATAACAATAATTTTTACATATCAGAATCATTATTATATTCGAAGACAATCCGGGACGCATAACACAGAGTCATTTGTTGTACTCCTGTCTTCCTGATAATGTTGCAGAGCCTCTCCACAGAAAATATATTCGATCTGCCCCCTCCCGCATTCTGTTCGTTACGGAGGTAGGGGCAACTGGTTTCAGTTCAACAACGTGAGGTACGGTAAAAGTAGCATAGCACTGTCTTCTCTCTTGAATTCACAATGGAGTTCTAGCAGCCTATCATGATTTTAACTCCGGTGAATCCAAAGACAGCCCCCAGCTTTGAGATTGCTATCTTTTGTATGTCCCTTTTTTGGAATGCGCTTCGTAGTTCAACGTGCGTTCCTTGCAGGTCCTTGTTAGTGGGTTCCTGAGATGTTCTTCTTGTTATGAGATCGAACAGATACCTATCCCCTCCAGTTTTGGTATTTTCTATATCTAATGGTGATTTGTTACGGTTTTATTTTGCACTACGAATTCTCCGTTATTATTATTCTGGAATCATTGAATTTCGTGTTCTTAAGTATCAGATCGATGTCACACTCTGTATCATGTTCACTATGCTATATGATAACTTCATGTTATGCTGTATTATGAACTATCATTCAGTATTTCGACCCCTGTACTCACCTTCATTTCAAACAATTTCGCATACATATTATATTATGTGCTCAGTAAGATATCATGTAAATTTAATGATCCATCATTGTTCACTTTATTTTTATTTCAATGATTAAATCAATTGACAATCGATTTCTGACAAATATAAGTCAATATTCAATGACAGAGTTGACAGATAACATGTGAGATATTTTCTTAGTACAGATACTTTCTTTCTGACCCGAGATGGGTCTGTGGCGGATGACCGTGACTTATATCCTTAGATCATCGATATTAGCATGTATCACAGAATATTTGTTTAGTTTTGTGATAGGTCGAAATGTGTTTTGACTGTTCTGTGTCAATCTCGATACTTTTTAGTTTTGTATTCGGTACTTCAGGATTGTTCAGTGGTTTACAAGTCTCACTAGCGACACAATGATTATTATGCCTTTTTCCCTCCAAGTTTTGTGTAAAAGTTTTTTATGTTGAAGCCAAAATAAAGTATGTGAATTTACTTGACCAAACATCTTGATATTTAATGCTAAACTTCTGAATGGAGTATATGGATGTGGAATGGTAGATCGTTGATATCAAGGTTTCTGATACCAATCTACCAACGCACCACGCCATAATTGGTGACCCCTCGTTGCTCAACACGTATAGCAAGTATGCCTGACCCTCAGGCGAATCAGCTTCAACAACCTCAGCTTCAACAACCTCAGCAACCTGTTCCTGTTGCTCAACAAGCCGTTCCTGGTACACCCCCAGCATTACAACCTGTTCAGCAAACTGTTCCTGCAGCACAAGTGGACAGAGTGTCAGTCAAACTACCTCCTTTTTGGAAGAACGATCCGAAATTATCGTTCATACAATTAGAGGCTCAGTTCCAATTGTCTGGGATTAACCGAGACATTACAAAGTATAATCATGTAGTGAGTGCAATTGATACTGAAATTTTACAACAAGTAGCTGACTTTGTCACAAACCCACCTATTACTCATAAGTATGAAGGTATCAAAGATCGGCTGATTAACACCTTCTCAGATTCCAATGAAAGAAAACTTCGCAAGCTTCTATCTGAGATAGAATTGGGTGACAAGAAACCATCTCAATTACTCAATGAGATGATCAGGTTAGGTAGTAACTCAATACCTGCTGACCTTACAAAAACATTATGGATGCAGAGACTACCAACTCACATCCAATCTGTTTTGACTACAAGTTCTGATTCTATTGAAAATCTGGCAAAAATGGCTGACAAGATAGCAGAAATTGAACAACCTAGAACATTCGCAGTGGAACAAAATCAAAATAACCTAACAGGTGTCATACAACAGTTAGTACAGGAAATTGCAGAGCTTAAAGCAAACTACAATAATCTTGACAATAGTGGTGGTAGTAGAACAAGGAGCCGTAGTCTATCACGCCCACCTCGCAAAAGAAGTGTTTCTGGTGATGCAGATAATGTGTGTTGGTACCATTTCAACTATAAGCACAAGGCACGAAAATGCATTGCCCCCTGCAAATTTCAAGACCAGCAGGAAAACAGTCCACCGCGTCAGTGAGGACGGCAGTTGGCGCGGCAAACACTAACCGTCCACCAATAATGCCTCATGTTAACATTATCCATGGTAGTAGTCATCGCTTGGTAATCAAAGATTCATCTACAGGAATCAGTTACCTCATCGATTCAGGATCAGATATTTCCATCCTTCCCAAGCAAGCTAAACATCAGAAAGCTTCTGAGTTCATATTATATGCAGCTAATGGTACTCAAATTAAAACTTATGGTACTCAAAAAGTTAACCTGAACCTTGGACTACGCCGTGCATTTATATGGCCTTTCTTTATTGCTGATGTTGAACGTGCAATTATTGGATCTGATTTTCTACATCATTTTGACCTTCTTATTGATCTTAGAAGATCCCAGTTAGTTGATATTCAAACAGGAATTTGTAGTGCTGTAGTGAGTCTGGCTATCATCAGGTTTGCAAGGTCTCCTGTTCAATAAGTATACTGCCATGTTGACTGCTTCAGCCCATAAATAAATCAGAAGATTAGTACTTTCCAACATTGCTCTAGCACTTTCAACAATGGATCGAATGTCTCAGTCTGCTCTTCCATTTTGTTCTGGAGTGAACGGTGCACTGGTTTCATGAACAATCCCTTGACTTTTCATGAATCGTTTGAAATGTTCGTTGACATATTCAGTCCCGTTGTCAGTTCTCAGTACTTTCATTTTATTTCCAGTCTGCCTTTCAATCATTTTGTGAAACTCCAGAAATTTAGAGAAGACATCATTTTTATGTTTCACAAAATATACAAGGCGATATGAAGTACAATCATCTTTGAAAATGATGAAGAAGTTGGTTTCTCCAAGAGACGTGGTGGAGATTTTTCCACAATCATCGGAATTAATATACTCGCCAGGTTTTTCTGCACGATGAGTGTTCTTTCTTGGAAGGCTTCTCACTTTGTTTTCCTAATTGAAAACTTTCACAAAACAAATCTGTATTCGTCATTTTGAGACCAGGAATTGCACCTTTATCTGCCATTTCTTTAAAGGATCGAAAATTTATATGACCCAACCTTTCATGCCATAACATGACGAAAGTTGTTTCAGCAGCATTTCGTTGAATGACCTCAGGGATTTCTACATCGAATAACATTCTGTAGCATTGGTTTGCCTGTTTGACTCCTGCAACTACCAGACCAGCTTCATTTCTAACTTCAATGCCTCTTTGGTTTAAAAACACCTCGTAGTTTCGATTGGTGATTGCTCCTATCGAAAACAGATTCTTCCCTAGGTTTGGAACATACAGCGTATTCTCGAGACTTCTTGGTTCTTGCATTCCATCTACTAGGGCTTTGACAAGGATCGTACCGATACCTTCTGCGTGGATTAGAGAACCGTCGCTTATTTGAATGGCTTCTTCAAATTTCAATGGTTTCAGCACTGAAAACCATTCCTTTTCAGAAGTTATATGTTTCGAAGCTGCACTGTCAGCGAGCCAAATATCCTCACAACCTGAGACGACTATGTTATTTGCTTCTGCACTCAAAGCGAGATTCTTCTGTGAACTAGCCTGATTGATATTGCTCCCATATTTTGTTATATATTTATTTGCCAATATTACCCTGTATAGCCATTTATAGAATGGGAGGGTTGTTATGGGTTTGAGGGATAGCAGTTGTTTCTTGTCAGAGTGACAATATCGTTTAATTTTGAATCTCGTCGGAATATATTTTGTAATTTTCAATATAATAAAGTTTATTTGTGCTAAAGTTCAGTCTTTCACGTATATCTGGAGCTTAGCCTACTGACAAACCGTTGGAAGAACCCAAATATAGCCAACATTAATCAGAAGTGGTGAACTGAAGACGAACACGGAGTACTAGATAAATTTTGAGTTATTGATATTTGGAGCAGCAAAATGGACGGAGATGGAGATGGAAACACTCAAAAGGAAACAGACATGTCAACATCGAATGCCAATTTGATAGATAAATTCATGAATATGATGGTCATGATGGAACAGAATCGTTTAGCCAGTGAAGATAAATTCTTGAAATTGTTGGAGAAGCAGAGCGTGCAACCCGTACAAGCACATACCCAATTTCATATTATGCCGGATTTCAGTCATAGTATCGATGATTTCAATGGAGAGTGCATGGGAAAAGCAGCAATGGACTGGATGAAGAATATAGAAAATTCAGCAGTTTTACATAAATGGCCAGCAGAATTTCAACTAGAAACTGCAAAAGTTCATTTGAAAGATACAGCGAAGAAGTGGTTTCTGGAAAAATCAGAACAAATCAAAACATTTGATGACTTCAAGGTAAGGTTCAAGAAAACCTTCGACATGAGAATCAGTAAAGATGAAACTTGGAAAAAGATGAAAAGAAGGATTCAAGGTAAGAGTGAACCGATAGTTTCCTACTTCCATGATAAAGTTTCATTGTGTCAGATTCTTGAGTACGATTTTGAAGAAATCAAAGAACAAGTTCTAATTGGATTATATCGCAAGGAAAACATTTCTGGTTTGATGGCCGCCAAAATCTCAGATATCGATGAACTTTTACATGAAATTTTGCGCTTTGAGAAGATATCAGTTTCTGCGAATAGTTCTTATTCCAACTCTTTGCAGTATAATAATAGATTTGGCCATGGTCAAACGGTCATTCGGAAACCTGAACAATTCCGAGGGAACATTGTCAAATCGAATATTTGGACTGACGGAACTGTTAACGGATCTCAAAGTGACAATTCAGTTGCCATCAATAATAATAATTCTGTAGAAGGTGGTGCAACTAACTTTGTACAGGGTGATATAGCTGATACTATACAAGGTGATGCAGCAAAGATTGTACAGGGTCGTGCACGTCGAACGTTTTATTGTTATAAATGTAAAGAAGCTGGTCATCTGAAACGAAATTGCCCGTCTAATCAACATACTGTTAACTCAATATCAGGGAATAAAGATTGTAGAACTCCCACAGGAAATTCAGTTAATCCTTCTACTAGTACAATGAAGAATACACAGACATTATTGGCTGATGAAGGAAATGTGACTGAACAGGGTGATTCAGTAGGAAAATTCTTGCGCGATTTTATAGTAAATAATAATCTTACTGTTTCTGGCTTCATTGATCCAGGTAGCGCAGTTTGCACCATGAAACATCGAGTGTTGATTGATAACAACCTACCATGCACTCCCATTGATAGAAAATTATATGGTTTTGGAGGAGATCAACCAACGCAATGTACGATGATGACAAAGGTGACACTGACTTTGGATGACGTGGAGGAAGAAGTTGTCGTACTGATAGTCCCAGATGATGCACAATCGATGGATTTGATAGTTGGAAGAACTTTCACGGAACTTTCGAACATAGCATATGTTCGTGTGGGCGATAAACTACATTTCGGTTACAAGAATGAAGATCCTTTTCGAAACTTGAAGTGGAAGCAGCAGACTCAGAAGGTACCAGTTCGAGCCAAGGAGTGCCACAAGCTGCAGGAAAAGACGGTGAATTTCAGTGAGGTGGAGATCGGGAATGAGTCAGGACTCCTTCCAATGATGACTTCGTCAGCGATAGAGGTAAATGCTGGAGATCGTCTCGGTGAAGTGAGAGGTAACAATTTATATGAACTGTTGTTCATCAGTGATGGTAAGCGAGTATCTGTTACTATTGATATGTTGAACATTGATGACTCTGTTGTGCCTTGCGATTCTTACAGACTGTTGGACCTTATAAATGAATTTCGAGATTGTTTTGCACTCAACATTCATGAACTTGGTTGCACTGATATTATGAAAGTGAATATTTCGGACAATAATCAACCAGTTAGGGCAAAACCTTATCGTTGTAATTTTGAGGATCGCAAAGTAATAAAAGACATTGTTGATGAGTGGCGCGACTTTCGAAAATTGAACAATCAAACGGTTATTGAAAATTTTCCTATTCCCCATATAGACGATTGTTTTCAAATACTCACGGGGTGTAAACTATTTTGTACCTTAGACTTAATGTCGGGATATTTACAGATTCCTTTGGACGATGAATCGAAGGCGAAAACTGCCTTCATCACACCGGATGGTACAGCGGAATTTCAAAGGTTATGTTTTGGACTTGTAAATGCACCATTCGAATTTTTGAAACTAATGACTTTAGTTTTGGGTCCACTGAGGAATACAATTGCAGTTTCTTATCTTGATGACATTTTAATTGGTGCCAAAGACTGGACTGATATGTTGAACAGACTTCGAGAAGTGTTCAAGGCAGTCAAGGATGCTGAACTAACTTTCCGATTGAGTAAATGTGAGTTTGGTAAGAAATGTGTGAAATTTTTGGGCTTCAGATTGAGTGCAGATGGACTACAACCCGGAGCTGGTAAGTTGGAAGCCATAGAGAAATTTTCAACACCCAGAAATAAGCATGAAGTCAGAAGATTTTTGGGATTGACAGGATTTTTCAGGAGGTTCGTTAAAGATTATGCGTCAATTTCTCGACCAATTTCTGATTTGACTAAAGCAAATGAAATGTTTTACTGGACAAAGGAGCATCAAGAAGCGTTCGAGAAAATGAAAGGTATGTTACAAAAATCTCCAATTCTGCAGTTGTTCAATCCGAAATCTGAAAACACTGAATTACACTGCGATGCATCTAGTTTAGGCGTAGCAGGAATGTTATTACAAGAAGGATCAGGGAAAAGAATGCATCTTGTTTATTGTGTCTCTAAGAAGACGAGTGAAGCGGAAAAGTTTTATCATTCTTCGAAATTAGATTTATTGGCAATTGTTTGGTGTGTGGAAAGACTGAGATCAATGCTTTTAGGAATAAAATTCACGATAATCAGTGATTGTCAGGCTTTGGTGTATCTCAATGCCGAACGGACAGTCAATCCACAGATAGCACGTTGGTATACAACACTGAGTGAATACAATTTTGAAATTAAACACCGTAACGGTGATAAGATGGCACATGTGGATAGTTTGAGCAGAGCTGCAGTTGAGGAGCCTACGGAAGAAGGAATGATAGAAGATGTATATGATAAAAGATT